GCATCATGCTGGGCTGAATCGTCCAAAAGAAGATGCGCGACCTTAGCCAAACTTGAACCATCAGCCTGATCAAGGGTCGGACATCCCGCCATTGCGATCTGCCAGCAAGATGGGGGTGAGCAAAAGACCATCAAAAGGAGGAGGAGTGTGGACCATCTGAGGTTCATCTAGGAGGGCACTTGTCAACTTGTCTACATGAGTCACATGAAGGCAGGCACTGTGAATTTGTCTCGCAAGCGTCTTATCCGAGATGTGACAACACAGAAGTACCTCATTTCATGTAACGGATAGTAACGGCCACTGCCTCAGACGACCTGAGTCTACGGTCGTTACTGAAGTTAGCAGCTCTATACTCCCAACCTAAACCCTAAGCCCTAAACCCTAAGCCCTAAACCCTAAACCCTAAACCAAGGTACGAAAGCTTCTGCAGCGCCGGTGGGCGTGAGTTCGGCTGCGTCGAAGGCATCCACGCAGCCAGAGGACACCTTTGCTTTGGGATACTCCCCCTTATACTTACAGTCCTTAACAGGCATGACAATAGGGGGTACTATAATTCCTAGTAAGGACGATTCACATAATTGGGGAACATCCCAAGTGGGGCTTGCATGCGCCTCAGGCCGTGCCATGAGTGCATCGGCGGGGAAAGTCATGGTCAATGTGCGAGCGAAACACTTTCCTAAACCGTGAGCCTGAGAGCATGGTGACATCTTGCAGGCATTTGGGCCTATAGAATGGCCATCCGACTGCCCGTCGAGCGGCTACTTGCCTTATAAATGCCGAAAAGCGCAAATCAAATCCAGAACTGCGGCGCAATAGGTAAAATCCGAGAAAGCGCATCGAGTCCTACAGTCCAGGTAAGGTAATTCGCTAGCAGGATTTGCCCATACATCTACACCAAGCTTAACCGAAAGCGGGCCTGCCGCGGCAGGGTGCGGTAAAAGGCCGCCTGCTGCGCAATGAGTCCTGCAGCTGCAAACATCAGCTAAGGGTTAGTAGGGCGTCTGGCAACAACGCTAGCCTCGTCCTCATAATATGTACACCAGCTGTAAGGTTTGCAGCGTCCTCTGAACCTACACCCAGCAGTCTTTCTAGGGGTGAGAGTGCCTGAGTCCTGTGTCGGTGTAGGGTCGACTTACATGAGCAAGGCTTTTCATAAGGAACAGGGTGCAAAATGAACAGCAACAGCAACAGCAGCACCACTCCGCAGCTCATGCTACTGCAACACTACCACAGATCTTGAGCGTGCACAAAACTTCTCACTTTGGACCGGCTCAGGATTTTGTGCTTGTAGAACATGGGGATTTACATGCTTGGCACGTATGATTCCCCCATGTCAACAGAACCCACTGGGTCTCGGGCCATGGACGTCGAAGCCCGGCAGAGGGGAAGGCGAGGCATCCAAGAGCCCCTGAACCTGACAGGGAGGCTATACCCCTTGCTGCTCCGTGCCCCAACCACAAAGCTGCAATACACGACCGGTTGACAGAAGTCTAGAAATCTGCTGGCAAGCGCCAAAAAAAGCCAGGAGCTCAGCGGGCCTTCTCCTGCAAGATTGGAGCGTCGACCAAGGCAACTCGCGCCGCCTCAACGAAGCTGAAGTCGGCTACCAAGTCTCGAACCTGCACTTCGGGACTTCGGTTTAGGGTTTAGGGTTTAGGGCTTAGGGTTTAGGGTATGGAGGAAGGACTCCTATAGCACAGTCCTGGGCATTGTGGCGCGGCGGTGTTGAATAAGATAAACCCCGCTCTACTGGCACGCCTCCACTTTCGTTTTGGATCTGATCGCGTGGGAGAAGCTCTATGGAAAACAACGCGCTCCAGCCAGTGTGTCTCCTTCATTCCATCATAAGCGCTCCAAGGAGGTCGCGCAGCCCTTACAACATATATAGTACATATATGTATGTATACATATATGTATATATGTATGTACATTGCATGCCCCTTACTTATTGAAGTAGGTCGCAGTTTTTCTGGGCTCGCTCATCATATGCTCTCTCGCTGCATCTGCAGGGTCTGGTCTCTATGCCGCTTTGCTGCAAGTAGCTCAGCAATGTCACACTGCAGGGACCACGCACTGCAGCCACAGAACATCTCACCGCAACGAAGTACTGCCATATGGGGGTTTCCCAAAAGATAGGGGCAACCCATAATATACCCCCAAAATAGTAGAATCCTTATTACAGGAACCCCCAAAGGGTACCCCCTATTTTCGAAAACCTCCATATAGGCTCAACTGTCCACGGACCCTAACACCCCCCAATCCCAGAAAGGCCCCAGCAAATCCAGCGAGGTCACCCTCTCAGGCAAGTCCAAAAGCTCCGCGAGTCTTTCGCACAGGAGAAACTCCTGAGGAACAAGTCCGAAATTTAGGGTTTAGGGTTTAGGGTGTTTACGTCTGAAAAAACCCTTTCAAATTCTATTTGTTTAAAGCCTGCCTTTTTTTAGCCGGGGGCCTGGCAGCTGGTTTTGTAGACCCTGGGCTTGGCCCGCTCAAGAACTGTACCTCTTTTTTGGCCTTTTTTTTCGGCAGGCGATTGAGTCTATTGCAGTCTATTGCAGTCTATTGCAGTGTGTGATGCATTGCTTAAAGGGCCCCCTCCATCCCTCCGGAAGGCTAACTGTCAGATCTGTCAGCAAAGGACGTTCATCCAAACTCCTGTCCACCGGATCAAACGGCACCCAGAGGCAGTCTTAACATATCTTGATGCACAACAGACAAAGTTGTTGAACATCTGGCTATGGGCCACTCATGGTCACTAATGCTACTTGCAGCTGCGGTCAAGCATGCCTGGAGGCTTCATGTTGTATGATCCCGTGACAAAAAAAAAGAATGCGATCTTGGACTAGGTGCTGAATCCTCGGCGGCTGGTGAGCCTGCGGCAGCTCACGCATCTGGGGGCGTTGCATGGGCACAGCTCCAGTTTTGGAAGCACAGGGGAGTCGCGGTACTGCATTTACACGGGCCCTTCAAGACTCCACGCAGTGCCCCCGGAACATTGCCAAAACGTTCAGACACACCCGATGAAGCTCCCGACGATCTCCACATCTCTCAACCTATAACATGCCTACTACCCCAACATATCATAGTAGGCACCCCTTGTCTTGGAAACCCCCATCTTGAAAAGGCCTTCCCCTGGATCTTCCGGCGCGGGTGGGCTCGCGGCAAGCTCCCGCCTTGGTTGTACGAAACTTATCGGGGGCTTCCATAGGCTTCGCGCTTTAGAGAGTATATGGGCAGGCAATACTTGGTAGCCAGGTAACCCTCTCACAGTAAGGGTACTCTTTTGGAGTTGGGATACTTTGTAAGGGAGCACAAGAAACTCGAACCGGCACCAAGCTCTCCCACACCTGACCCAAGCGACATCGTGGCAATCAGCTCATCTGCCTTCTCTGCCTTCTGCGCGACCATGGATGCACCTTGGGACCATGTGGAACAGCTACCCCCTACAGAGATTATGCATGATGTTCCCTCATCCTACATGTGGCATGTGAAGACCCGACTGCCGACCAAGGCACACTCTGACATTGCTCTGATGTGATCCGAGGACTCAAGAACGCTGCCTTGGAAGTGGGGCCCACATGAGGATGCGAGAATTGTTGCGTGCTACTGCGTCCTGCTAACGCACGTTTTGCAGGATTTTGGGGTGATTGGAAGGTATCGCGTCTTCTGTCGTTTACTCATCTTGCTTCGTGGGGCACTTCTCCACTGTGCTTAACTGTATCCAGGGAATTCTACCATCCTTTAGAAGTTTGTGATGAATGCGGAGCTGTCTATTCCCAGGCCCCAAGGTCACACAGAGCGGCGGTAGTGGTCCCCGACCAGCTCCCGTAGCTCGGACTTCTTGGCCTCGACCTTTCCACGAGGTCTTAGGCAAAGAACTGTCACTTAGAGGCGGTTGCCCTGGAAACGAACATGTGTCGAGAAATGATATTAACCACTCGCACTTGAACACTACAAGCAAGGCGATGCAAGGCGGCTCGTATCCACTCCGACCAACCTCTTGACCTTGGCAAAATCTAGCCCATGCTAGTAGCTGCTAGTATCGCAGAGAGCCCTTGACCTTGACCTCTATATTACTATATTACTATATTACTATATTACTATATTACTAGATTTCTAGATTACTAGATTACCAGATTACTAGATTACCAGATTACTAGATTACTAGATTACTAGATTACTAGATTACTAGATTACTAGATTACTATATTACTATATTACTATATCACTATATTACTATATCACTATATTACTATATCATTATTTTGCTATATTGCTCTAATATTATGTAGCGCCTTTTTGCATCTGGCCTGCTGTGCTTTGCCTTGCTTTCCCGAACTCCCAACATCCGTTTGCTGACCGGCTCGCCTCTGATCGGGTCTTTTGGAGGATGCCATGGATCTCCACCAGACTCTTCCTTGCATGTTTTACAGGTTCTCAAGCCAAAAACGATGGCGGCTTGTCCGAGTCCAAGTTGTAAAATGCTTTGCAAGTCAGGGGTGTTGATGCGTGTCCGCATGTTGACACTACCATCGGAAGGGTGAACGGTTCACGTTGCCGCATGAGGTGGTTCAAAGTTCGAGCCGTGCATGCATGGCAGCAGAAACTCAGCAGGGCCTTCCAAGTCTCCAGCCTAGGTCAAGGTCCCTGTGACGAGAAATTTTACGAGCTCGGCACGCGAAAGCATGAGGTGTTGTGACGAGCATCTGCCTAAACAGGTCATCGATCGATGAAGGGTTAGGTCTTCCCATCGCGAGAGGTCACCGCAGCATCTGCGGCCATATTCTCGCAGCCGCTCAACCGCTACATGGCTAGAGCCAGCAAATCCTGCACATTCGCTTCTTTGCCCCCATGCGCGATTGGCAAAATTAACTCTGCAATGAAACCACACGCTCGAACATGCACTGGAAGCACACTGGCGTGACAGAATCCAGAAAAGATCTACTAGTACTTAGTACGTGTCAAAGGCACTGACTGACAATGAATGCTCAGCTCCTCGCGGGCATGCCTGTCCACAGGACAACATGAGTGGGCTTCCGCTCAAGGACTGCAGAAAGGAGATGAAACGATGCTTATCGAGTGAATTCGTATGCAACACATCCCTCGCAGCATGAGAAGCCACAATGGCAGTGCCAAAGTGCCACAGACTTTCCGACCGTGCCGATTTACGACTCAAGCTCAACTTGCCTCATACGCTTTGCGAATAGGGTCCAGTCCGCCGCGGGCGCAGAGAATAGCTCATCAGCAACTTCATCCACTCAAATTCCATCGCTTGTTTGCGCAGCTGTGGCTGACAGGACCCGCGCTCTCTACAAGAAAAGCTGTGCTACATGCGCGCCACCCAGGTATAGACACTCTACAACATTGACACCTATGCACGTCTTGTTTGCTCGTATTGCGTACACAATGAATACACGCCCGAACCCACGCAGGCATGCAAGTTGCATGGCGCAGGCTTATAGTCGTGTAGATTTTGGCAGGTATATATTATATGTAAATGATGCAAGCCCAAGAGGGTGCTTTTCATGCCCAGCCTGTAGAAAACGTGCGGATGATGGGGCGCGTGGGCGCAAGCAAGGAAACCTGAGAACACAGCGCTGCATCCAGGTGCTGCGCAAGTGATGGAACAAGAGCCAAGAGCTTTGTCTTCACTAAAGAGGGGCCCCACGAAAGAGGGTCCAGCAAGCTTTTGGGTGGAGCCGTTACACTCAAGCCATGATCCTGCCTTGCCTGTCACAAAGGACAACTCGCTCCGGCGGCGGCATGCTCACCAAGGCCCCAGCGGCTTCGGAGCTCGTCGCTATACCTCGCATTCAGCAAAGCTGCTTAGGGCACTGCTTGCAGCGACTGCACAAAAGGTAGCTCCATCAGCCACGAGGCGAGTGTTGTTTTGCTAGCCATGCCGCGTCAGACTGACATCAGACAGAAGTTCGCACATGTGGCAAAGATCAGTCTGCGTTAAACTCAAAATTGTCATCATATTCCCAATTTTGTGCAGCAGGCCAGTTGTAGAAAATGATCCATTTCTCGCCCTGCACCACGCGATCAGCAGCATGCTTGAGAGGAGGCTGATTTTTCCAAATCACCGCACTTCCCTTTGCTGGCTTGACTTTTATGCCCAAAGTTGGGAACAGGGTGTGCCCGCCATCGGTCACATCATTGAGGTAGGTCAACAAGGTAGCGCGATTGTAATCGATGTGCACCGGTAACCATTGGTCTTTGCGGTAGTGCTTGATATTGGCCTGCCCATAGCTTAAGTCCAGGCCACACCGGTCGCGCACCTTCTGCAAGTAGACGTCCAGCAGGCATCGGCTCTTATATGTCCAACGCACTGTTGGGTTGCCAAGCCAGTCCAGGACGGGAAGACCACGAAATGCTGTCCTGAGAGGTGTGAGCCAACCCGGCACGTCAATGTTCGCCTGGCCAAGTCGTTCGGGGAAGTTGCCATCCTTGTCCCGCATGGATTCCACGAAGTCCGTGCATTCCTTGTCGGACAGGATGCCTTCCAACAGAAGGACCGGGGGGTCCTCGCTCATCAAACGAAGCCCCTCTGCCTGGAGGTCCACCTCGGGGAAGACTCGTTTTGCGGCCTGCAGCCTCTCAGGCGGCAAGTCTTTGGCATAGCTACCTGCCACTTCGGTCAGAGAATCTAAAGGTAACTCCACCTCGCTTACGGCTTGCAAACGCGCTTTTCTGCGGCCATGCCGGCAAGTTACCGCCACAAGCCCAGCGAATCCCAAGCAGCTTCTCCCATGCTGCAAAGGGAATGACTTTCTGCAGGGGTCGGTGGATGCAACGCAAAGATGGGGCCGCAAGGCGTATCTCCCGCCGGTCACGTGCGCTGGAGATCCTAGTGCGCGCGGGGTGGGTTCCATTCTGCTGACCGGAGCCCTCGAGCCAAAGGCCTCACAGCCAACTTTTCAGATTCACATGTCCAGTCACACAAAACAGAATGGAATCCGTCTGAAAAGCCGAGAAACGATGAAGACGGCATGTGGTGGCCACCATGGGCACTGTGCAGAAGCTCTTGTTGACTAGTATAGCCGCTACTTCGGCTCGCTGCCGTTGCTGATGCTCAAAGGTCCAACTGTGAGAACTGGGGTTGAACGCGGTTGAACATGGTTGGGCATGGTGGGACGTTTTCGACTCGACATCTAGACCAGCAATGTCGACGGGAAGCGGATTGCAGGTTTGGTGTCGTCTCAATCATCAGTATCATCAGTAGACTCTTCCGAGGGTCACCACCCCGCACTCCCCCCCCGACCCCCTTCCCGTTGCGACTCCGAAGCAGCGGTTAGACTTCAGCAGCGTAGGATGAAGAGACTCTGAATAGCCGAACTGACAACCACTACCTAGATAATCTATATAGAGCAAGCTGCTAAACGAGCCACATCATGTCACAGACATTGATCAGACGCGAAAAGCTTCGGGCTTACGGGGCCCAAAATAAGAGCGGAAGCCCATGGTGCCATGCACTACACCCGCGAGGCCTGCTTATACGCGAAAATTTTGAGAGAAGCCTCATATTAAAACCATTCTACAAGTATATGCCACAACCTTGCAAGGCCTGGAATCTTGCCGCACCGAGCTTGGGATCATGAGTGGGTGCTGGCATGGCGCAGCTTTGTTTTGTCGAGGTGGACACAATAAGTTGCACAAGTCAATCGGCATTGAACTCAAAATTGTCATCATATTCCCAGTTATCCGCAGCAGGCCAGTTGTAGAAAATGATCCATTTCTCACCATGCATCACGCGGTCTCCAGCATGCTTGAGAGGAGGTTGATTTGGCCAAATCAGGGCACTCCCCTTGGATGGTTTGACTTTTATGCCCAAGGTTGGGAACAGGGTGTGCCCGCCATCTGTCACATCATTGAGGTAGGTCATCAAGGTAGCGCGATTGTAATCGATGTGCACCGGCAACCACTGGTCTGTGCGGTAGTGCTTGATGTTAGCCTGCCCATAGCTTAAGTCCAGGCCACACCGGTCGCGCACCTTCTGCAAGTAGACGTCCAGCAGGCATCGGCTCTTATATGTCCAACGCACTGTTGGGTTGCCAAGCCAGTCCAGGACGGGAAGACCCCGAAATGCTTTCCTGACAGGTGTGAGCCACCCCGGCACATCAATGTTCGCCTGGCCAAGTCGTTCGGGGAAGTTGCCATCCTTGTCCCGCATGGATTCCACGAAGTCTGTGCATTCCTTGTCGGACAGGATGCCTTCCAACAGAAGGACCGGGGGGTCCTCGCTCATCAAACGAAGCCCCTCTGCCTGGAGGTCCACCTCGGGGAAGACTCGTTTTGCGGCCTGCAGCCTCTCGGGCGGCAGGTCTTTGGCATAGCTACCTGCCACTTCGGTCAGAGAATCTAAAGGCAACTCCACCTCGCTTACTGCTTGCAAACGCGCTCTTCTGCGGCCATGGCGGCAAGCCACCGCCACAAGCCCAGCGAATCCCAAGCAGCTTCTCCCATGCTGCAAAGGGAATGACTTTCTGCTGGGGTCGGCGGATGCAACGCAAAGATGGGGCCGGAAGGCGTATCTCCCGCCGGTCACGTGCACTGGTGAACCGAGTGCGCGCGGGGTGGGTTCCATTCTGCTGACAGGAGCCCTCGAGCCAATGGCCTGAAGCCCACTCACCAAGTTCAAAACATCTAGGTGCTGAGTTCTTGAAGCTCCGAGAAACCCCAAAAGTGTTTTCCACCCTCAGGACAGCACGATTGTCGCTACTCTTGTGCTTGCAAGTGCCTCGTGTCAAACTCATTCCAATCCAGATTGTACTTGAACTGGTCCTGGTCCATTGCCAGACATCAGCTCCCAGCTTTTTCCGCGGATCGAGGTACATGTTCCAACATGCATCGACGAATTGCGCTGAGCAACCCAGGACAAATGCTGAAATTTATCGCCTAATTAGTCAAGAATGGATGTCTCCGAAGCAAAGCCACAGACACGTACAGCGCCTGGTAGTTTTGTACAACATTCTGTCCTGAGGTGCATCAAAGTGGTGGAGCAGCCTGGCTTGCATCAGGTATGTCAATTCTGAACCAATCGAGAACTATTCTGTCCATGCTGGTCAGGAAGGCCAGCATATGCCAAAGTTCTTGGGAACCTGACCAGCAACGACGTTGCCTGATGCGAGCAGCATGTTCGTTGGCGGTGCTCTTCTGAATCTTCCGTGCAAGACCGTTCTCAACGAATTACTGTACACAACTTTGGCCCCGAGGATGCCAACAAAAAACTCCTAAGAGCCTAGGTAACCTAGGTCAAATGTTCTTCTTGACCGTTCCCTGCTCCTCCTGGCCTCACCAAGAGCCTCGGTTGAATTGTTCTCAAAGTTTTGAGTCTTCGCCTCCATAGCTCATGGCGAGCTCATGCATCAAACCGAGAGGAGAGTCTTCACCCTGCCTCAGCGGCGCACCCCAGAAGGTAAAGGACCCGGATGCAACCGTAAAGGAAACACCTTACCCCACATTTGGTATGCAGAAAGGCGCAGCGCAAACCCCAATATCCCACACCAGCGACCTCAGCTTACTTACAAGACGTTCGCCTGAGAGCCTTCCCTCGACATTGTCAGAGCACAGGGGCCAGCAAAATCGGGAGAGTGGTCAGGATTGGGGTGGTGAGGGGGGGAAGTGTGGCAAGCAGGGCAGGTCGAGAGCAAGTGTATTAAACGTTCAGGGTGTCCTGTGTACGCAAACTGCCGGTATCAAACTTCATCACGAGAAGGATAGAAGCTTGATTTCCCCCCTTCAGCAGCAATCAAGATTAGTCAACTGAATGGCACTTGAAACCAACACCACAACAAACACACAGAATGCCAAGGATGACAAGTGTAAACTATGTCATGCCCAGGCTGGTTTTAGCAGAGGGACACAGTTTCATGCCCATGGCTGAGGCGCTGACACTTGCTGGGCTCCTCGTCTGGGTCTTCCTCAGTGAGAATTGACACCTCTCGCTGGCTTAACTTGCAAAATTGTGCCGCTACCAACGAGCATTACGTACAATGGGGGCTTTGTGCTGTCGATTTTGCAGCATGATGTCCCATCCAGCAACACAAAACCAAGGTTCGCATGCTTTGAAGTAGTTAGTACCCATATTTTGGAACCGAAGATAAGTGTTCTAGACGTATGTACATACCTCTCTATGTGATAGGAAACCGAAATAACCAAATAAACAAATATAGATGTATGTATATGTATGTTATACATATATATATATATATGTATACATATATATATATATTTATTTATTTATTTAGTATGCGTTTATTTTTATTTGTTTAATTATCTGTGCATGCGGGCTTATCAGGGGCTCTTTGAACTGTTGTCATCTGGGTCGTCCCTTCATCTCCCTGGGCTGCGGCCATACTCTGACATCACGCATCCGGCTTGCGGCGTGAAGGATCTGGTGCAGAGCACAGAGAAGGCCTACTAAGCTGAGGCCTTCGTGGAGTTCACACAGGGATTCAGCTACTGGCTTTGCTCACGGCTGCTTTGAGCTGCAAGCGGACGGAGAACGTCCCGGCTTTAACAAAGGAAAGCAGGCTGGGAGCCCTGAAGTGCTAAGCGTTCTATGCTCGCCTCTCAATCTTCAGATAGAGCCTGCTTCAAGGACAAACGCGTGTTGGAAAGCTTGAGCTCGTCCTGGACCAGCTCAAGCAACCGCTGCGCTCTCTCCTCTGGACTGTTAGTCGCCAGTATTTGCAGAAGGGGCTCCCAGAAGTCGGGCGAAAGGTCAACGTTGCCGGAAAGAGCTCGAAGGAGGCCGCGCGGCACTTTCTGAAGCGCTTCCTGGCCAGACATTTCGGAGTTTTGCTCCTTCATGTTCTTGAGAAACTGCTCCACATCTTGCAGGGCCCTCTTCTGGCCGCGGTCCACTTGGGTGGCCACCTGCAGCTCCTGCCAGGCAGCAGACAGAACCCAAGTGGACACGTTGGGCCCGATCTTCAAGAAGAAGTCTTCGCCCACCCGGGGCTCTTCGAAGTGCTTGGACAAGAGGTGGAGCTGTCGCCAGGAGTCCAACAGATTCTCGCGCCAAGTCGGCCCTGGCTCCTGGAGTTTTTCCTGGGGCTCCTCGGCTTTCGGTGGTTTCGGGGCTTCCGGGGGTTCCTCGGGCTCCTCTGGGAGCAGCTCTACTTCGGCCTTCAAGTAGTTGATCTTGTTTCCTTCGCTGTCGGTCTCGAACAAAGCCGCGGGGTTGAGCAAGCGCAGCAGCCTCACGCGGCCTTGGACCTCATGGCTAACGACGTACTTCACTCTGTCGCCAGTTTGGCTACTCACCTCCTGCAGATCAGTCAGGTACAGCAGTGACCCGATGCAGAACAAACGCCTGTCGTCGGGCGCCATCTCTGCGTATCTCACGCGCCCGCCAGGCAGGGACCGAGTGTACGGCACCACGAAGCGGCGCGAACCAGAGAGCAGGATGTCATCATACATCTTGATGTATGCTGGATCAATGATGTTCAGGCGTGCTTCAGTGCCCGGCCAATAGATGGAGGACAGCGGAAAGACAGGCAGCACGGTGGCATTGCCGGAAGCCTCCAAGGCTGCCGCCTCCGCCACCTCGATCCAGTCACCCTGCCTCCTTGGGAGCCGCCTGGAACCTGCAGGGACCCTTCTAAGGCACCTTACAGGTTTATTTGGGGGTTATTTAGGGGCTGCTTAAGTATACAGGGTCTCTATTACTATATAACCCATATATATATATATATATATTGTACAACAGAACGGCCGAACATGGCCGAGACACGTTGATGAACGGCTGTGTTGCAGAACACTCTGCTCCGACCAAGCGCACAGAGAAGCCACAACCTGCAGGATTCACCAATCTTTACAATCTGGTTTGGGCTCTATTTCACGAACCCCTTGCTTCTCTCCAAATTCAGAAAAAAACCTGTGAAATGGCCAGGCGCGTGATGTACCATGCGCCATTGCAGCCAAGCTGCAAGGCGGCGGTGAGGCTCTGCAACAGAGGACGCCTGAAGCTAATCGCATGCCTCCGGCATCGTGCGGAATGCGGCATTCTTTGCAATACTTGAGCCAGGGGGCTGGGCGCACACTACTCCATCCCTGAAACCCTAAGTCGTAAGTGGTCAATATGTCCCATGCCATTTTTGCAGGAGTTGAGAGAAAGTTCTTCCAGCCACATGACCGAGGCCGACACCAAGCCCAAGCACTTCCGATGCTCGTGTAAGGCGGCCTAAAGCTTCAGATTTCGTCAGCGCAACACTTTCAGCTGTGAGAATATGGTGTGGTGGTCCACTTCTGACTCTCAGACAGGAGTTGCACGCCATCTAGCATGTGAATGCCTTCGAGTTGTTCGCGGACATGCTCTACATGTTCAGCACCCGATGGCTGCGGGTAGCCTAGCTTGGAAGAGTCGTGAGAACGACCCACACAAGTGGTTTTGAAGCTGAGCTTTGCGACACTTGTTTTCGCATACTGCAGCAGGTTGGGTTTTCCAATAGGTCTTGCCCCATTAATGTTGGGTTCGTTTTCAGTGTGACTGATTTCTGAAGGCACGGCCGGCACGGCCGGCACGACATAGCTGCATTGTATGGACAAGCTGAGATTCATGCGATGGTCTCCTCATGGTCGTAACCTTCGGCCTGGCACAGCGAGAGGCGAGATATAGACCGAGCGCGAGCGAGAGAGAGAGAGAGAGAGACACCAGCAAGGTGAAAGGCTCGTGGTCTTGGTATCTAACAACCCATACCCCCGCCCTCTGTCCTGATGGAGATGTCAAGCTCTAAGTCAGAAAGTTGGGTCGTTTCCCCACGCCCTTCCCCCTTCAGTGCCTCTTTGGCTTGCTTCCGTGTTTCAGCAAGGCCCCGTGCAAAGACAAACGAGCTCTTATGACATTGTTTTTGGCTTAGCAGCTGAGCACTGTGCACCCTGGCCTTATCGTTGGGTTCGTATCGCCCGCCTGCATTTCGTCGACATGGCTGTCAGATGAGCCAGGTACATCAACGGTGCATCTAATGGTTGGACACATGGACACATGGCTGGCACTGACTCTAAAACGCTCTGAGCTCAGTGCCGGATAGAATCTGCACAAGATTCAGCGTCTCCGCGACCACGCCTTTCTCAATCCATGTGAGCTAAGGACACTTTGGAATCCAACCAGCTCAGTACAAGAGAGTTCTTGCTCAGAGCCCCCATCGACTGGACATCAGTAAGGCAGATGGTTCTTGCCAATCTTGCGTGCTTCGGGATGCTCGCAGTGCGCCAAGGCGCAGGGCTCTTGGTGTGATCTGATGGTGTCGACAGGTCTCGGGCGTGGATGTGGTCTGCGGGTCTTCACTGGTTATTAGTCGTGCTGCGGGGTTTCGCCTCGGTTCAGTTTCTCGAATGCCAGCGTCCCTCGAAAATCCTCGAAAGCCGATGCCGGTTCCCAAAAACCGTATTAATCACTTGCGACACTCTCGCCCTTCCATTTTCTCAGGCTCATGCCGATTCCCTCCACCAGGCGAAGGTGCGCCTGGCAGCTTCGAAGTCAAGATTCACCCAACATCTGCCAGTGCTGGTGTTGGCTCAAGCTGCTAGTAGCTTCCATGCCTTCATAGCAGCACTCTTTCACAACCCCAGGACGTATCAAGCATCCGCCAAGGATCGTCGAGGCGCTGCCCAGTCAGCAGTAGCAACCCGCAGTCCTTTGTGACGGTTTCAAGGGGTTCGGATTTTGGGCTACGCATGCTTCGCCCCAAGTCAAGCGTGGCATGGTAACAAAGACCCGACCAAGGGGGGTCAACAAGGGAGGCTGGGATTCATCCACAAAAGGCAATCCGAATCAAGCATTGCTCGGCAATCAGCTTCTTTTCTTTCTCTTGGAGCTGCGACTGCCAGGTGTTCAGCCAGTACCTTACAGGGAAGCAGGGGCCTTCTCTCTCTTCTTTCGGATGTGGACCCTGGACCTTGCTCTCCTACGTTTTTGGGATGAGTCTGAGCGCTTCTCCTGCCGCGCGCGCGAGTCACGTTATCCTCCGATAAGTAAACTACCCCAGAGTAGTGCTAAATTTGGCCGGTCCAGAAGAACAAATTTACCTCAGGATAGTGCGAAATTTGTGTGTGCAGAGAGTGTTCCGCTCCCTCCGGAATCCGACATTATCCGCCCATCAAACCCCCCGGGCTGCGAAAGAGGAGAACAAGGACAGCGGAAAACCATTCTGATGCTTGACACGCTTCAGGAACACGAAAATTGTAGCTGAAAGCTTCGCCCCCTGAGATATTCTAAGAGAGTGAGCCAGTCGGCTGAAGCTTTCAGTCTTACGAGCCCTTAGCTCGAATACAGAGTGGGCACGCGATTCCAAACGGTGAGTTGCTGTTTGCCTATTGGTATTTCTATCGCGCTGTTCTTTCTTCTCGTTGCCTTCCTGTATGCAGCAGAGCCTCAAGCAGACACCGGCATGTATCGGTCCACAGATCCCCTGTTTTAACGAGAAAAGCAAGGACAAAATTCCGCGGCCATGTACATCACGTGCGGCCTTGCACGGCCCCTCCTCTGTGCTTGGCTGTTGGCGCTTGATTGCTCCTCCTCCGCCGCCGGCTATCTTTCCGTCACCATACTAAAATAAACAAGCCTTCCCATTCATCCCCCCCTTTGCTGACAGCAGCCCGTTTTGGTGTTTGGTACTGCGTCACCATGTTCGAGTGGTTCTGTACCTCCGCACCTTCTGCACTGCCACGTGTGCAGTTTTTGCCACCCTTTGTTGCTGCATTCATCGATCCGGTCTTATGTAGCAGTCTCCGATGAGTGCGGGAGGCCCTGCTGTCGGACAAACGAAAACGTGAAGTTATTTCTGAAGCTTTGGTCCCTCAAATTATCTCAAATCCTGGGCTGAAACGACTGGCTAGTTAGCTAATTCCTGCCTGTCACCCTCCAAGTTCAAGGGAAGTTTGCACTCACTGACTCGCTTGCTTGCGCCCTGACGGGCCCACGCTGCCCCTTCTCTTTTGTAGGGTTTCGGGGCTGGGGCAGAATCCAAACCCCATGCAAGCTGTGCGCCCTGGCATGGGCTCCCATGGGAGGATGTGCCCCATGCCGGACGGACCCTAGGGCCCTAGGTGCTGTGTTCACTCGCAGCAGCAAGTGCAGCGTGATTGATGGGGACAGGTCACGTCATCTCCACGCAGCGACGCCAATGACCAGGATCCACAAGCTCTTGGAGAAGATCCTATTTTCAAGTGTGGATAAAGGAAGCAGCGGCATCATTTATGAAGGGGATCTGACTGCGGCCTGCCTTCAGAACATTCGGAGTCAACCGCTCGGGCGGCGGAATCACCCTCAGCCACATCACTACGCACACAGGGCAGGTTTATACGTTTGTGCCAAACCGTGTCACTGACAAAGAACCCGGCGACGTGTCACAAGGACATCCATACAAACATAATTCGTGAGATACAGATGGACGTTTGTTAGGCAGCGAAACTATACAGATGCTCTCAGCTGGTTCAACCTAGGCGGCAGTTTTGTGACCGAGCAGCTCCTCCCCGCTCCGCTCACTTCGTGCTTCTTTGCATCCCTTGCGTTGCTGGCCGAGTGGCTTCAACTCAGCAATCCTGGGCGGCACCGCATCTCAAGCACAACATAGTCCTATACTCCCCTTAGAACCTTCATAAGCAGAATATGTTTAAAATCCTCTTGGGTTTCATATGAACAAACATTACAAAAACCCCAAGGGGGATATAGAGTCTACGTTGTCAACACCGCTGTGTTTCTTTTGCAATCATGTGCGCCGCTCGTTCAAGATGCCTAGGTTCTGGTACAAGCGCTCGTCAAATAGCGGATCCTGCACGACCAGCGGCGCAGTTCCGACCTGAGGATATATGTTTCTCATCCAGCACGCTGCGAGTCGGGATCTCCTCTCAGATTCCAAACAAGACCTATGCCACGTGAAGCCTGGTTGCTGCCAAGGCTTGCCACGTGCGGTAGCAATCATGTCCTGCCAAATGGCCAAATTCCAGCAGTTCCACAGCAAACCAAAAAGGATTGTGTTATGACAATGAGATATGCCGGCATGTTTGTATTCCTTTTCAAGCGTGGTCCAAACCTCACACGCACAGACAACACGCGACTGCGAGCAGTATGACCATGCGCCGCTCTAGGCTCTCCAGTCTAGACTAACACTCTACGCTACGGGGATGGACGTAGTGCTGCTGCTGCTGGTTCTGGGTGGTGGGTGGTGGACAAGACCTACCAGCGGCGGCGGCAGCAGCAGCAGCAGCGAGAGCACACACAAACCACAAACAACCGACAAGCTCCACAACAGGGCAGAGACCAAACGTGACCGCAGCCACGTGCAGCTTGGAAAACTTTCAGTGGCATGTGAATTATGTGAAGCCTTGCGCAACAGTGGCTCATGATAAATAAACGTGGCAACGACAGCGTGCGGCAGCCTCTCCCAGGAGGGGAGAGAACGGCACGATGGCGGCTCAGAAGGGAAAGAAAGTCAGCGAAGTCCAACCTCTGGACAATACGGATGCGCTTCAGATGAGACAAACGTCACCTGCACGTAACTTGTCATCTTACTTCTCACAATGAAGTATTGCCCAAGATACCGGCCCGTCACGACATTCACGAGGTGTGAGAACTCCTGGCATCAGAAGAAATGTTTCTGCGTCTAAACAGACTGACAGATCTTTGGGGTAGGATTGTTTCAGCAGCACTAAATTATTGCTCCTGGGCTCGGGTCCCGATACATGTGTCAACTTGCGCACCACACAGTGCAGCGAAGCCACAGGCTGGGTCAGCAATTCCTTAGCGCACCAAAACCATCCAAAGCCTTATATCAATAACACATGGAGCACCCACCCCGTTGGCGGCCATGCAGTTTTGCACTGATCTTGATGGCCGCAAAAAAATACTGCCCGACTCCGTGCTGCCTGTTTTCGACGTATCTCGTCCGCAGGCGACTCGCCTCAGAAGCTACAGTCACTGACTTCACTGCTGCGGGAAGCTCAACGTCCAGCATGATGCAGCACGCGACTGAACCATACTACCATTTGCTGCCATACCTGCGACTTAGGTACCTGCATGGGTGTCACCAGCAGCCTCCCACAGTTTACATTTAGGCAACGAAAGACAATGCTGGGTCGAGGTGACAGTTGCAGGGATTTGCAGGATGTGGCAGCTGCAGCGAATCCTCCAGCCGTCACTAACTCAGAGATTGGAGTTCCATAAAATAACGTTACCAAACATACTTACACAAAGCACTGGGAGCCGAGTGCACATGTGTGTTCATCCATAGGTGGGCGAACACTGCAGGGACTATCAAAACTAGGACCAGCAATTGTCGAAAAAATCTCCGCAACCGGACGTCCCAGAAAGAAACCCGGGCCAGACCAGAAATCTATCTCTGTCTCTCCCTCTCTCTTCGGTGCCCGCCCCCTAGCAGTGCCCCCTGCACATAGCTTGAAGTATTCAAAAGACATCTGATGCGGTCTGTTCGGCCCCTTGGTCCAACAGTAACAGGGCTTTGCAGACACACACACACACACCAAAAAAAAAACTCATCCCCGACATCTGTGAAGGGAGGACGCGCATTAATCCTACCTTTCAGATGCATGGTAGAAACTACGAGTTGCACCTTGTGTCGCGCTCTTGCCACGGGGAAGAGCAGCTCCAAATTCGCTCAATCCTCCGGTCTCGGCAAGAAAAGCTCGATTTGAGAGTAGCGCGGTACCCACGACATGTTCGTGGCCCCCGAAGAAGTTGAACTTACTGGCGGAGGTTTGCGAAATGGACATTACATTTAATCACTGCGGGCCAGATTCAGCAACTCGGCGTCGCCTGATCCACGGAGATTGCCACGGTGAAGGCCATCACAGTGGTGAGGGAGGCCCACCGGCAGTGGAAAGAAGCGCTCCTCGGCACGTTGCAACGGATGGCTTGCGACAGGAAACCTGATAAGGTGGCATATATGGCATCATTGCTGAACGCGCAAGTTGCGTTGAAGGCTCATCTGACGGCGTGTGGAGGTTCATGGCAAAGCAAGCCTTCCAGGAGCCAAAGGCCAGATTGCGAGGAGTGCACAAGGTCTTGCGCAAACAGGTTTAAAATGTGGTTGAGCATCACCAATCACAGTCCATGCCTCAGATCCCCTGTAAGCCAAAACCCCAGCACAGCACACCTTCAATCCCGGAAGCGATGCGATGCGGCGCTGGGTCTCTGCCGACAGTGGCGCATCTCCTCCATTGACCTCTGTTTTTTGACGGGTCGGGGAGCAAGGATGGGTACTACGGCGAGGCTATGAATTCCCTTTGGGGCTTTTGTAGCGAATGCTGGCCAGTTCGTGGCCAGGCACTGGCTCAAGATGGATGGTCAGCGACTTCTTGCTTGGCAAACATACCCGCCAAACTTTGAACCTACAGATTCAAGCAAGTGTTAATCGCAACAGTTCGCAAAGTACGCATTGCTACAGCGAGTCCCGGCGAGCCAGACTTAAAGTCCAGGGCCACATAACGGCTGTTAAACCGGAACAACCGTGCTTCCACAGAGAAGAAAAGTTGAAGTCGAGAGTCAGCGAGCAGGATGAAGTCTCCCGCAGCTGATCCTGCCTGGGGTGACTCATACGACTCCCGTCAGAGGGGCGGCTTGAAGTCCCATGTCGCCATGGTTTTTAGACAGCTGACACGCTTCATGCTCGCAAACAGGCGCTTGCAACTGCAATTGTTCTGGCGCAGTTCGGCTGCATGCAGCAGCATGCTGCTGTACGTCGTCTTGAAATCGTCGGTCAAATGATGTCAAAATGTCAGTCCAGTTACAAAGCCGTCGGTGAAGCCTTCTAGATAGGGTTTCTCCACACAGACGACGGCAGGTGCGCCCAAGGTCTTCAGCATCTTCGCGAATCCTTGGCTGGAGAACTGCACGCCCGACATCTGGAGACACCACACCCATGTTCTCGTGCATACGGACAGGGGCTCCTAGTTGCGAAAGGAAGTTGCTTAGAGATGAAGCTTGGGCCCCGTTTGCCCAAAACATATTGGAGTCCCGGTGGCATGCACGTGTAGTGAGCCGTCTGTTGAACATGTTGTTTACCCCCACGGCAGACACATCTGCCTTGCTCCAAGAACGATGCTTCGCGGGATGATGACTGAATCCCCCTGAGAATTGTTACTCCAAGTTGACTACAGCATACTACAGCGCAGTAACTAATTGCCCCAAGCACTCAACACCATCCGTGGCTTGATTCGCGCGAAAAGTCGAGTCATCGCTCCGGCTGTGATGTCCATGCCTAGTATGGCCGATACTGCTGTGCTGGTCGAGCTTTCTTCCCGCCGCCTAGCCACGCACTACGGGGGTACCAAGTTGGAGGAGAACTGGTTACTGGCCGAGATATCTATCCAGGGTATGCGGCGTGAACTGGGAAGCAGACCGCTGCTGCTTCAACTAACCGGGAATGCTCCCACAGCTGCGTTTAGGTAGGTGAATAAAAATGCAGATAATACTGTAAGTCCCAAGGCGCCGGCTCCGAAAACCCTCAATGATAAGCCGGAGGGCTTTTCGGGGCAGCCTTCAGTACATAGGAAGACTTAGGTAAATTCGTAAGTTTGCTTTCGAGGAGTAGTGCAGACCCAGGAGGCGCTGGCCCATGTCGGATGCAAAAGCCGGCCTCGGGGGGCGAAGTCAAGAGCTCTCTATGAACGGCTCCCCGGATTCGTCACGCAGCGCTGCCAAGAACAGCAAACGAAAAGCACTCAAAGGCTCCATGATCAAGTCCGGCTATGATCCGTCGCTGCCTCGTGTCTGGATGGATCTCCCGGTAGCGCCGAAGGCGAGGCGTGCAGGCCCACAGCGCAGAAGAGGCCAGGAAGCTGGCAGAGCAGATCCTCTCTCGAAGATGCAGCTTGTGCAAAGGAGAATCCAGATATCTCCACGTAGCTTCCGAAAGCAGAAAGTGAAACATCCATCAAAGAGCCGCCACAGCAAACACGACCTGGGTTTAGTTCTCCAAATTTATATGTAAAGTAGGGCACCCCTTCAAGGAAGGACCCCAAAAGAAACCCTACTTCGATAACTACCCACAAGACTATAGTTAGCAGTCAGGGTGCAACTTCGCGGCTGTCGCCCGGCGATGCCACCTCTCATCGTAGTACCATGGCACCTCGTGCAGGGCTGCAGTTTAGCAGTCAGGTGCAACAACTCGTTTCCTCGTTCTGCTTTCGATCTTCCTCTCGGCTGGGCACGGCCTCAAGCACATGCCAAAAACACGCATGCCAACGCGGCAGTGCCTCGAAGATGCCGGGTGGCACTGGAAGGTCCTCCAGCGCGCATAATGAACCTCAAGACACGGCGAGAGTACGTTAAATAAAATCGTGAAAATACAACATCGAAACAAAGCCTTTGGACTTTAGATGCACTGTGGCTCACACCCGTTTTTCGCTGGCACCGCTACAGACTCTTGTCGGGGCGTCGCGCCCTTGTCGCAGACTGTTTCGCAAAGAGCTACAAGCCTTCTGAGTGGGCTTGTCGCAGAGGGGTCTGCCGCCAGACTGTTGTGTGTTGGCATGGCCATGGCCAAGTTGGAATTACTAACACCACTACTAAGACGAAGGCTTCTACAAATGATCTCAAGCTTTCCTGAAGCTGCTGTCTGGCGACAGGATGCAGATGGGGTCCTGAGCCCGTGGGAACAGTGCTTGGTGTAGGCTCTGGGCTCTGTGCGTATGCGCTTTCACCTCAACCTTCCAAATGTTCCAACTGCCGGCATTGCCCCCAGAATCATTTGAACTTCTTGCAGCAGTGTGGCCACATAGTGGGTTCTGCCGGTTCTGCTGTCGCAGCTCTGAGCCCCTGTCACAAGAAGCGCATGGACATGTTCGGGGTGTCACACAGGTCCTCGTATACATCAAGGGCCTCAGGACAACTAGAAAGACTGTCTCTATGCCACTCAGGCTAAACCCTTTGTTGCATCAGATGGCCTAACCGCCTCCCAACTTTGTAGGATCTTGTGGCTTTAAATGCAATATGAATTTTCCGGGGGGGGGGGGGGTGTTCTTCACAACGGTGCCCCGCATGTGCCTGAGAGGCCTCCTTCTTCTCCTGCCTACGCCGGAGAAGGGCCTCCCAAGCTCCTTGGGCTTTGCTGCGGAGAGCTTTGCTCTAGTGTTTAGGAGACACTGGCATTCTGCTGTTGCTGAGAATGCCTTTCCAGGCACTAGAGAACCAAATGCTTACTGTTGCCGATTTTTGTTGGAAGATTGGTCAGAGATTTGTCGGCAAAAAGTCTAGAAAAGCTGGGCAAGTCTCGCTTGGCCAGGTCGAAGCGGTCAGCCAAGTCCTTCAAACATGGGCCCATGGCCAAATGGGTCGAAAGCAAGGAACACGTAGGCGGACCGAAGATACCACATCAGGACCGGGATTCCTCCTGCAACGTGTCCAAATGCTCCTTCGGGCCTCAGGTACACGCAAGCCTTGCAGATCCAACTTCCCAAGCAAGGAGAAGAGCACGTCTGTGAAGTTGAGAAAAAAAGAAACACTGGGCTCAGAACAGCCATCCCCAGCCGGGCACGCTTGGCCACGTCGTGGGTCATGTTCGAAACATAAGTCTTTTGCCTGCAGGTCCAAACCGCCCGTGCTTCTAGCGGCGATCCAAGCCAGAACCCAGCAAGCAGAGCACCCTTGCAAACTCAGAAGGAAGTTCTGAAACCGCGAAACCCGTCGCTAGCTCCTTCGCGCCCCCGGGACCAAGAACAGCTGCACCAGAAACATGCAGGTTTTGGGTCCTTCCGCTCTTGCAGCGCCGTCGCCTGTGCAGTGTACAGGACCTAATTACCTAAAGAACGTGTATAACTTTCCTGCGCGCACTGTTCGCTGCGCATCGAAAGCGTCGTGGTCATGAAACCAAGAAGGGGAACACGGTCACCAATCCCAGCAAAGACAGCAAGCAGAGAAGCCCGGAGGGAAACGGAGTCATCTCAGGCTCTACTTCCAGCAGCCAGTCGCTGTCTTCATTTCGCGCCGCGGCATTGCACAGCAGCTTGTGGTGCTGGTTCAAGTACACCGCCTCCTCAGACACCTTCTTTCTGATGATCGAGGCACCCCAGTGGCTATGGGCAGTGTGTGAAGATCGGACACTGGCGCGGTTCCGCTTCACCTCTTGGTTGCACTTCCGAAGGCAGTACTCCTCCATTGGTTTCACAGACACTGTGCAATCCAAGTGTCTGTGATCTAACGGTGTTCCGCACTCCATCAGCCAGCGGCGTATGCGCAGGAAGGACAGCGCGGAGTCGAAGTCTAGACGTGGCCCCTGCAAGCCATGCACTTGCAGCGCCCCTTGATGACAGCCAGGCGTGACTTCCTCTTCGACGAGGCAGTGATCTGGATAGTGGCAAAGCACTGGGGCATGACAAGCGATAGCAGGCAAGGGCTCGTACGGATACAATGCTAGAACACGTGCAAGACATTGGCACATGGACACGTCGCAGCAGGCCGACGTGTTGGTGAATCCAAAAAGGTCTAGCTGCGCCACAGTCAACAAGTCACCAGGGACAGGATCGAACAACAAAAGTGACAGCTCGCAGGTGGACATGTGAAGGTCGGCAAGCGCCTGTGCCAGGTACAGGCATGCAACCCCTCCGCGCGAGAGGCCCACTGCATTGACCCGCAACGCAGGAGGAGCTTGGTGGGTGGATGCAAGTTCCGCCACCAAGCTGTCAACTTGACGTCGCACAGCGGCGCATTGCCTCCGCAAGCCTTTGGCGCAAATGGTGCCGCAGAAGCCATCAGTGACGCCACAACCGTCGAATGCCATCTTCCTCGGCTGGGTAATCGGCGCTCCACCCAGATTCCCACCGCTTACATCGAAAGCATCTGTGAGGGCGAAGAATAGGCCGATCTGAGTAGTTATTGGCTCAATGGTGTTGGCCGTGCCCTCGAAGAAGACTGTGAGGTGGGCGATGCTCCGATTTCGGCTGGCCACACTCAGAAAAGGTTCTGTGTCTCCCATGTCGGACCTCACGGCACGGCTACAAAACCACTACGGCACTACGGTGTATGCTGCATCGCTTGCGAGCCTCACAAGTGTTGCCGTCACTTCTGCACATCTCAGGATCAAAGGCAGCACAGCTCTCCCCTGTCGTGAATTCGGCAGTCCGCTTACACAAGCCTTGGCGGGTCCGCGTTCGCGCCGTGGCCCACGAAGCGCCATCCGTGGTGCATGTTGTGAACACTGGACACACTTCAACTCGTAATTATTGTAGTTTGATCTGAGCATGACAGGCATGATGTGGCATAAGCTTGCATGGTGGCATCAAACAAGGAAGCAGGAGTGTTTGAATCTATCAGCTGACCCACTTTGCGAACGCACATGGCCATGGCAAACATTGTGGCGAACATGCAAGTACCAACTGGCGTGGGGCTCAGTGACTGAATGGCTGTTAACACCAGTGCTGCACTACAAGACTGACATCACCATGACTACATTCTGCAACTTAATCACACCCCACTTATTCCTGGACCACACAGCACGTCATGTTGTGTCACAGTACTTCAACCCCTCAAGTTACTCAACAGTCTTCAAACGGCTGTGACCCTGGGAGGCCGGCAGTGAAATTGTTGCAGTTTTTGCGGAGCAGGTCGTAGGTTTGAGGCCTTGGCTTCATAATAAATGCAGAACGTCAAAAGTTCGTGGTTGACGGCTTAAGGTCGCCGATTTTAGTTGAAGGCGTTGAAGGCACCTGGTCTAAGTTGTTCGACGCGATGGTTTAGTTTGTGAAGTCTTGCTTGCCTGTCACAGCTTCTCGACCACAGCTCGATCGAGATAGTGTTGTTGTTCATCAGCAAGCGCGCGCACTACTGCAGGACACAAGGTCGGGCCTGCAGGCTTTTGAGGCTTGGAAGGGTGCTTTCTGCATTTTCTGGCAGGCCGTCCGTGGGCTCAGCACAGCAATGACATCTTAAGGCACAACGACATCGCACCGCCGAGGAATGGTGTCGTTTTCTATCTGTGCCATGGTCAGGGCTGCGCGGCTTCATTTGGCCAAATCCTGAGGAAGCCACTGGAAGTCTTTGCTCAGCACATCGAGCAAGACTGTGCCACCCAATGGGCCTGGGCTCACAGTGTAAAGGGGCCTGGATTCCGTGATAGAAGCCCTCGGCCGACTGAATCAGAAAGCGAGCCCAAGCCTGAGATTCCTGGAGGCCCTGCCCCCTACCGCGACAGGAGTCTTTTGATCAGGGCTTGGGCTGTGCCCTAAGCTGAGGGACCAACTCTCCCCCATGTGCTTTCTTTGAACGGCTCTCCTGGGCTGGGGTGAGGAGGAAAACTCGAGGCTCAAAACAACTACAGCTACCCATGAACATTCAAGCATGGCGAAGGGAGATCATGCAGGGACCCCCTCCTGGGAAGAGATCTCCATTTCCCAGACGTTCCACCCAGCCCCACATGTAACAAGTTCTCTTCCATGGGACCTAAATTGAGCGTTGCGGGGGTGTTGGGGCGGGTGGGGGGCCCATAGTTCCGCACCCACCCGCCCGCGCCAAAAACGGGGTTTTCCGAAAGCCTTGACTCAAGCTTCCATAGGTCGGGAGGGCATGCAGCAGGCAGCGCTCACAAATCGTCTCAAGGCTGCCCCTGATCAAAAAAAGGATTGGAGCTGTACGCCGAGTACAAAAAGGCCTGGCTTCCGCTTCTGCTTTCTTTCCTTGACCTGCCTGGGAGCCGTTGCACCTGCTTTCGAGACAGCCCGTGAAAATTTTAGGGTGCTCCTGACACATGAAACATCATGAAACCGATGCACCTCCTCGAGCATCTGGATTGTTTTCTGGGGCGAGGGAGGGGGAGGGGCCAGGGGGAGCCCACGCAAGCTTCAGCCTCTCTACGGCACCCCCAAAATCAGACTTTTTCTGGAGCTTGATGACGTGCTCTGGATGTTGGGGCCGCCGTTTCGTCATGTCGGACTCACGATTCGCGGCCCGGGTGTCACACTTTGAAACTCCGAACTGCAAGCAAGTGACGCTCGCCGGTGGCTCGTCAACCTCGGGAAGCAGCGTATCCCGCTGGGCGTGAAGTAGTACTCCTGCCAGCGGCTGCCCAAGGTATCCAGGTGCCGATGCTTGATTTGAAAAAAGCAGTACCAGGTCGTGTCTTCGTCACACCTGTCCTTACCTAGCTTGAAAGAACAATCTCGATGATCCATATTGGAAAAGTATCTCCTCCCCATCCACGAGCACCTGAGCACACTATGAGTTCATGCCACACGACTTCTCTTTAAGGTGTAAAATTGGCGTGTCTGCCAAGTCTGCTGCGCTTGATGACTGAAGTGTGAAACGGCACATGAAATAAGGAGCCGACGGAAGAGTGATAGCCAGCAAGACCCTGCAATCCGGCCAATGGTGAGCACACCAACTCCACCCGATGCCTGCCAAAGTAGGACGAATTGCATATGTAACTCAATAGCAAGGCATGAACTATTCTGCAGTTGATGCAGTATTTTGACGTCAGCACAGAAAATCAAGCGAGATGACCAAGGCTATTCGAGGTCGCATCAAGATATGCAGTTCAGCATGCTACAAGCAGAAGATAGCAAAGGTTTGCACCCCACACGGTTGCCAGGGGCCAAACCTCCATGTCCCTGGGCCCTGGCAAGCTGCAAACGTGTCGTAAATTGTACCACCGACAGCCTTCCGTTGTGGAGCTGGAGCGGACGCGGCAGTGTGGGCCGCCTCGCTGCGCACTCTTCCGTGACATGAGACACCAACGCCTCCGAATTCAACTGTGCAGTCGGCCCAAGATGCCAAAGCTGCCATGGTGCCAACACTGGGCTGAAGGACTGAAGCTGCAAAGGAAATAATTCAGAGCAAATAAAGAAAAGCTCCTGCAGTGCTAATAGATGTCTGCGTAGGGAACGTAAACCCTAAAAAAGGGAATGACAAATCTGCGTTCAGCGTCATCGCGCTGCGCAGAATAAGCTGCAAAAACTGCGAACTCCGCCGCAAAAAAAAAACTTGCGGCATTACAGAGCGCTCACCCTCCGCAGACCCGTGGCCAGTGTATTTGTGCTGTAGCCAAGATCACCCGTCCATGCCCTTTGTTAGAAAGAATCCGACACAACAGACCTACAGATACTTCCGCAGTTTTGCTGGAAGCCTGTCCTGACCAGATTCTGCATGCAATCGACCGATTTTCTGTCCAAACAACCCATTCCTTCGCTTTGGTGATCCACAAAAACTTCAACATCATGTGATCTGAATGGGGCCCACTGAACCTCCCACCAATCGAGGAAGCATCAGCTGGAACAGGCCTGCTTCGCTGCTTGGACTGACGCCGCTGCTGCCCCGGTAAGTTGTCCTGTCGCTTGGCATGAATGGGAACGTCATACCTCAGCTGTAATTATAGTGCTGTGTGGAGGGCTACTTCTTAGCAACAATCTCTGCAGGCTGGGATGGGCTGTTGGAACATGGATCATGGTCAGGAAGCAACATGGAAAAGATGATTACTTGGCTCTCTGTTCGAGCTCTGCATTTCTGGACATCCTCCGCTACGAACCCTGCCAAGCCGAAGCCCTCAACCTTTCACTGCTTTGCGACGGTCCTTCTCCGGACGGCAAGGCTCGCAAGTCAAGCAAGGCGTGACCTGAAGCTGCAATAGCTGCACGAGCGTTGCTCCAAGTCTTCCTATTCATTGCAAACATGGAAAAGCTCGAGGGCTTTGGAGTTTCTGTGAACTCCAAGGCATGCACGGCGCCGGCTAACAGTTGCACATCCCTGAGCCTCAAGAAATCTGCATCTAGTTTGTGATAACTCACCACTCGGGCGGACCAGGCTAGACTCCAAAGCCCGTGGCTTTCAGGGCCTGGTCAAGAAAATCCTACCCAACAACTGCCAGTATGTTATTGCGTATCGTCTTCATCTTTGGAGGCTTTGCCAATGATCGCACACTCCAGCAGTTCAGCACTTCACTTGCCAAGCAGAGGGCCACTGACTGCAGCCAACATGGCCAGGACATGGCGACCAAAGCGCGCACGATTGCAAATTGAAGCTGTATGTCGATTCGGTCATGCCAGATGTTGTGAACCGTGATTCGAAGCGTTGTTCGAGGGGCACATTGGAGATTCTCTCTCTAAACCAGTTCAGAGGACATCCTTTGATTTAGCTCCCTGGACGAGGTGAAGTGAGCCACAATGTGATTTCGTGTCGTGTTGGCTCGTTCTTGGGCCACCACTGCCCTCATCGGTAGTCACTCACTAGCCCCATGCACAACTGCAACACTATTCCGTCCGCGGGCAGTCAAGAAGTTCTAGCTCTCCTTACTTTACGACAGCCTGCATATACGTAGTTCCATCATCATCAGACGGTTGAAAGGTCTGAAGTGAGTCTGGTCGGTGCTAACTCTGCGAACTATGATTTCCTGGCTCTTCGCGTCTTGTAAAACCCTTTTTCTGCAACTCCGGGGGCTGGATCTGTGAGGCCACGCAGGAAACATGCAGGAACGCGCCTGGGAGCACGGGAGTTCTGAACCCTTCCATTCATCCTTCTTGTTTGGGTGTTGATCGAATAGGAGGGGCACATCACTTTTCTCCAACACTACCTGCTTTCACCTGCTTTCCCCACAAGGAGCTTGGAAGGTCACGTAAACCCAGCACAGGCAGCACATACGTAGCCGACAGGTCATGGACCTGTGAGACGCTGGTGGTCTTCACAACCCTTCTCGTGCTGCATCACACCGTGCACGCGCTTGTTGGATGAGAGCCTCTCTCTGCTCAGACACTCAGGAACTTGCGGAAGTCGGCGTTAGAGAGGTTTGTCAGGGGAGCCTCCGTGCTCAAAGCTTGACCAAGCACACTATGGCATTGCTGTGAACTTGCAAAGGCAATGAACCTCCCATTCCTGCCTACATCATGTTTTGCGCATGCACTCGGTCTTGCTTCCACCCGGCCAGTCACTGGAAACATCGGTCTGCGAACTTTGCAGCGAAGGCAAAGCATGACAGAACTATGGGATTCTACGAGATTCTACGAGTCTTGTCTACAGGTTCAGTTGTGAGACGAGCTAATGCGGCTGAGGGATCACACAGAATCGTGAGCTCCTAGGACTCCTGGTGTTTGTCCTGGAATCCGCGCCGAAGCAACGCGGTCAGGGAAGAAAGGCCACAAACAGCTGCACGAAAGTTCCGTGCATGAACACAAAACGCGAGTGTCATCACAAGCATATGAGCCGACCACCGGCACGAAATGCTCTAGACTCAAGAAGGGAAGGCAGCAAGAGCAAGGTCGAAGTCCTTCGATAGACGACGCGGGGGTGTTGGCTGCAGTGCCTGACAGGAGGCCGAATGGGATGGAGCCTTCTTGCTTTTTTGCGGGTGTGAACTTGTAGTTGGATCCCTCTCCATCTGGCCTTTGGTAGCACAAGGTAGCGCCAGCCGGGTAGGATGATAAGCACCTAAGCGAAGGAGCGAATCAGAGCTTCTACTGGCAACCTCAAAGATCAGGGGCTTCCGAAACTAGAGGCACCTTATTGGGGTCTTCATCAAAAAAGGAATCCTACTATTTGAGGGTCTATATTCAGGGTCGCGTATTTTCGTAGACTCCCACAAAGGAATGCCAGGGCCGGGAGTCGGACGCTAAAGGTCCTGGCTTCCGCAAACAGTACGCTGGCTTACTCACGCGCCCCCGTTTTAGAGGTGCCTTAGTCGAAGCAAACGGGTGACGTAATCGAAGTCCTGCCGGTAGGTCGGTGAGCTGTGGTCAGGGCTTGAACCCTAAGCCAGTACATTTTGAGGATCAGCCAAGCAGCCGTCACGATGCCAATGACAATTGTGTCCTGCCGTATACGCAGGAAATCGGAGGAAAAAACCGAACAGATTGCTAGATTTGCTGTATTTTGTAAGGACATCAAAGTGGTTGCTGGTCGATGGTGGAGACATCGTCTCTGACCTGCCATCCTGCGCTCCTTACGCCTGCCAATCGCCTCAGTCTACCTCCAGATCTAACTGCGGTGCCGAACCTCGTTCTCAATGGACTCGTAGTTCACCAAATCCAGGTGGTGCACTATCCTGGCTTAGGGCGGAAGGCAGACTATTCCTCCTCACCCGCGGATGAGGTTGAGCAGTGATGTCCTAGGTAACATTACGTCCCGCGTCGATCCCTGCGAGCATGTTCCCGCTATTGTCTGGACATGCGGTCACATTTGCGTTGAGCAAGCCTCCACCACAGTTCAAGATTGGTGCAGCAAGGTTGGTTTAAATTCAAGGCCTTTCATTTGGGTGCTACAGATCAAGCTTTGCCCTCGAACATGCTCTAACTAACCCAATGCCAAGCATCTCGTGCGATGCTGCCGCAAAGGCCTTCTCCTCGGCAGACTGGTCAACTATAGTCTACCACTCACCTCCCCCAACAAGCCTATGAGGATAAGTTAAGCAGAATGAACATCATCTCCATCTTTCACAAGCAGGCGTGGTTAAGCATGCCTGAAGTCCATCCCGTGTCTGGGGAAGTCCGACACACGAAGGGCAAGCTCAACTGCACTGATATTGAACTATGTGCTGCATCTGCACCGCCATTCCAAAACAGACGCTGCTGACAAGGACGAGGTGCCCAGGAGCAACCGATCATAAAGCCAAATGTTCGCACCTGAGTAGAGTGGCAGAACTTGTCTAAGTTGTCAGTCGAAAGGCCCCAGATGCCAACGGATCTTCTGCCAGACCCAACAGTTTGTGCACACCCCAAGTGGCAACCTCCACCTCCACCCCCCCCCACCCCCCAGACATGGAGGGAGCGAGAGAGAAGATGAAATCCTGAACGTCTCTTCGTCCCAAGTCCCACGTCCAACTGGGGCCCGCACCAGGGCCTCGGCTTCGGGCTCACCAAGCAAGGAAAAGTCCTGAGAGGTTGCAAGCAAAGACTGGGAAGAAATTGGGAGAGGGAGAGTTCGGGGCACCGGCGATTTAAGGACTGTTGGGACCATGTTAGGGCTGCTAAGACTTCGAGGGGCTTGAGCATACCAGGGTTGGCGTGCGGATTGCTGGATTGCCTGGGGTTCTGGGTATGGATGTCGGTCCAAGTCCATCAACTGTGAGTGGGGGACAGAATTCTCGGGCAAGGCATACAGAACGCTTACCCACATTTCTTGCCTGGTACGTACCATGACTTGTCAGACCTTCTAGCAAATGCTGGCTGAGCTTCTGCCAGCTTGTCCACAATGATGAGCAGGCAGCATCCGAGGATCGTGCAAAACACGGCGCTCGTCACACGGATGCATGTTTCGTCAACGAGGAAGAAGCCTGCTAGGGGGTTCAGAGGTCAGAGCCCTTCGCGAGGCCCCAGGGAGATTCAGGGCAAGATTCACATCGGAAACCGCCAAGAACTGCACTGCAAGACTGCGGCCCAGAAGCACACTAGCCATTTGATGAGCGCAGCTGAAGTCCATGCTGTGGTAAAGTTCAACCTTCAGAAGGATGAACCTCTTCCCCCTTTCTTTAACCCAACTTCGTGGCCAAACACCTTTCAACCCTCCCGATCCCTCTGGTGAGGGGCTAGGGCTGAAACAGAGAACTGGGCGGTTGGCTTCCCCCTCTTATGCAGGGACGCCAAGCTGGGCAGGGTCGCGGTTGAGGGTGCCGGGCTCAGGCTTTCCCAAATCTGTTTCCCCTAATATTGAAAAAACTCTTTCTGCTGGAGTGCTTAATATTACGGAGGGGGGGCCCTGGAAGGTGCAAGCATCAAAGTATATCAAGCCTGCCCAACTCGAAAATGAAAGGTATGCGGCCTTTCCTCCATGATACAGCAGCAGCCCTGCGCTTTGACCACACTCTGTGGGCTTCGTGCGGAGCTGGCTTCTGTAGCTCCGAACCGATGGCGTTTGCAAGTGGACAGCGTGTCCAACAGACCTTAACCTCTTGCCAGCTGAAATCTCTTGTGTTCCACTGATACTGACAGTTAAATCCTAAAACTACAACCCAACAGTTTCCACTTGGTCTTCTGAAAGTACTGAGCTCTGCCTTGCGCACCAGGGCCGGCTGCTCTGCAACAACCGAGGCAACTGTCGGGCACAGAGCCACCGAGCGTAGCAAGAAGAGCATGATTACCAGTCATGGTCGGATTAGTGTAACAGTGGCAGTAGTTTGGCTGCATCGCGTGGTCTTCCATTCGATGGCCATGGGTTCTTGGGCCGAGGTGGGGCTGCACGAGTGGAAAACCCGAGGGGGGACGCTGCAGTTGGTTCCAACATGAATCGCTTGCAAGCTGCAGCGTCAAGTAGTGCTTGTAGTCGTGGTTTTGGAGAATGTATGGTGCCGCACCTGCAAATAACTGCACTTGGAACATAGTAAGAACAAGCACATTCGGCATGAAATCGCAGCAACGTTGAACCTATGGAACTGCATCCATTTCATGCAGAAGAGGAGTCAGACCACCTAAACCTCCATATTCCAGGGTTCTCGGGCGCCCAAGCGTTTCAGACTCCACACAGAATCTTCTCTGCTCACTACATACCGTAACCTTGCAGGATGGCGAGAACGCCGTAGATTCCGAGCGTCACTGTACCTAAGCACAAGCACACAAGGAGGACCATGACCCCCACGACATGCCACACATTGGACACACATTGGACAGCTCCTGGCCAAACTGGAAGTAGTACAAACACACGTCGCCAGGCTGCTGAGGTAGGTGATGAAGAGAACGAACCTTTCAGACTTCTTCATGAGAAGGACGTCACCTACGGCCGGAAGCTGGGAATGTGCAAAAACCCCGTGCAAACTACTTTCGCCCTTGCCAAACTGCTGGTTTTTTCAACCCAACCTCGTCGTCTTCATTTTTATCCTAGGCCCCTCGGACTATGGGGCGTGCCAAACACGCGAGGTCTTATGACCTTCCAGCAGTCTCTGTAGGAGAGGAGTGGAGGGCATGGGAAGCAACTAACTTGATTGCAGTTCCCCTGGTGCCGTCGGCTCACCTTCTTGAAGAATGCCAAAGTCGAATTGGCACCAAAGAAGAAGTGACGAAACGATCCTGGTGCATTGCATGCGTGCTGCGTTCTCTCATGGCCGTCCGGACTGCAACACTGCAACAATTTTCTGCTCGCCGTGGTTCCTGTGCAGCTTCACGTGTTCAAACTCAAGACCCAACTCATGCCGCGCAGCGCTCACTGAATTGTTCAAGCCAAAGCTCCAGTTCTTGGCCAGGTAGCTGACCAGGATGCAAGCCTAGCCAACCGAGCTCATGCTCGAGGTTGACAAGTGGTACATGTAGTATTCATTAATAAGTCGTAATAAGCTCGTAATAAGCACATGTAAAGCAGTTCGCCGAAGACATTCTGCCCGTTCCATGCGTGCCCACACCTGTGGAGTTCAATCTACGTCTACGTGCTGTGAGCCTGTCTTGTTCCGAAGAGTCTCCGGAAAGGTACTCAACAGACCCTGTTCGCCCCCATCAGCATGAACGCCTTAGCCTAGATTGATGCTTTCCGCTTGAAAGTAGCTATGCTGGGCCACATACTCTCAAACTACTACCAACTGAAGTATACTCCCTGGCCAGAGGGCTGCTTCCATGTTGGCTTCCTCCACCTCCTCCAGAAACTCTGCCTGCCGGGATTTTACTGGGACTTGGTACTGCACACATGGCCCTTGCATGCATATAGGGATGACACGACACTTCCAGGGCGAAGATGCCCCCAGCTGTCCCCAGCTTCGTGCTCTCTACTTTCCACTACCAATCTTTAGAAAAAGTCAAGGCTGTTGAGCGAACCAAAACCCAAACCCTCACGCAACCCTGTAAGGAACAATGTGCTTAACAGGCTCATGCCAAGGGAGCACCTCCGTGAGCGCGGCAGTGTGTGCCTTCAGGTGCTGAGCGGCTTTCAGGTTTAGTTCCGATCATTATCTTGTAGGGCTAATAAGGGGGGGGGGTTCAAGGGGGCCATGTAAAGCTCCCTTAGTACCTACCCCCCATGAGCCCCCTCCCTTAGAAGCCCTGTAATTATCCGGTACTCCTAAGGCAAAGGGAAGTACGCTGCAACTGAAGATGAGTTTGCCTTGCTGTGGCAGTATGTTGAAGTCTTCCAATATTCAGGCTTTGGGCTAGAGAAGTCGGATGCAATGCTGAGGGTTGCCCGTGTTTTGGCAGCATTTCACATAATACCGTGCTATGTGATGCTTTTCTCTTATGATAAATGTATATATAGTTTATTTTTTATATTTATTTAATCATACTTATATGTGTGTGTACATACATACATACATACATACATACATACATACATACATACATACATACATACATACATACATACATACATACATACATACATACATACATACATACATACATACATACATACATACATACATACATACATACATACATACATACATACATACATACATACATACATACATACATACATACATACATACATACGTACATACAACCAAACGTTCATAACGTACATAACGTACATACGTACATACGTACATACGTACATAAGTACATACGTACATACGTACATACGTACATACGTACATACGTACGTACATACATGCACACATTACAGGCACAGATACGTACCTTTGTCTGTGGCGTGCGCATGTATGAATGCTATGTATGCGTGCATGTAGTGGTGCACCCTGTCCATACAGTGTTAATCCAACGGCTAGGTAAATACAAGCAGCTTTCAGCAAGGATGGCCCTTTATTGAACCTTCGTGAAAGTATTCCTAAGATGATCCTCTTATACCCAAAACAGGGAAAATACAAAATGTCCAAAGTGCCTGCCTAGCCAGAAAAGGTTCAGCTGTACGAGTAGAACTTCCTCAGCCCCTCAAATTCTCGGCCTCCACGTGTTCGGCCGGGGACTCGTGCGGAACGCTGATGTGGCGGTGCAGCTGGGCAAGAACAAAGCTTCAAGACCAAAAGCTTCAAACCTCAATCTTTTCAACCCTAACGCCCTGTGACCCGAAACCCTTGGACCCGAAACCATACAACAAATGAGTCAAAGTAGTCAGCCATACAGTAATCAGCTTTGACCGCTTTGACCAACCCTGCCGGACCGTGTTCCCTGAATCAACCTTCACAGACTCTGCAAAGCCGTCATCCCAAAAGGCCGCTAAGTTCAACTCGGTGAGCTCAAACTTGATCCCTCAAGGGCCAACTCCACTGATTTGTTAGAAACACCATTTGGGGCTCAAGTCCAAGAATCAAAGTTCTTGGTGAGGAGGACAACCACCCGCGCCGCAACGGCCAGCTTCACAAGAAGGACCAACTGGATGCCGATGACGACGACCTCTGTGTGAAGGAGGCCCACTAGCATCAGAAGCATCACTGCTGGGTAGCAACGAGCAGATGACGACCTGCACATTTTCTCGGAAGTGGAGGAAACATGTCTTGATGCACCTAGGCACCAGCGCGACACCTCCGCGACAAATGAAATACTGCCACGGAAAAGCATAATGGCGCACGCAGCTCCACACACACATGCCACGATGCCACATGATGTCAAACTGCCGAAGTGGCAACAATTTGTGGCCCAAGAGGCTGGACTAAAGCCACTCGTCGCCGCCCGAACCACGTTGAACAGTTGGTTGCAGACAGCAATGCCCAAAAAGGCCTGAGACAGGTTACGAGTCACGAGTCCAGTGAGTTCCTTGCTGAGTCTAAATCTGGCGCAACACCTTGCCGCAGCAAACATCGAGGCAGGCATGTCAAAGGCCTTTTGTCTCTTTAAAAATTTTGGTCATGTCACAGTGACATGGGCGAGGATGTGCACTGCCGCCGCAAAGTTCACGTGCGACCCACGCAGTGGCCACGTAATCACGGGAATGAGGACCCAGTGCAGAAGAAACCTAGGTTCTGCTCCATGTCTGCACTCAAAGAGCTGCATGTCATCAATGCAGCTGCGGGATGTGCAGACGTCAAACGCTGGAACTCGCTCGTTCCAAGGCGCAGTGGAGTGCCCAGCTTCTTCATGTGAAAGCCGTTTACTACCTGAAGTGGCGAATGGGATACTCCCTTCCTCTAATGCTCCCCCCTTGCTCCTACAGTAAACTCCAAAAAGTTGGAACATCCTTATCCCATATCCCGAAAGGTATACTAAAGGGAATCCCAGCTCTAATCATCCTTAAACCATGTTCCAACTTTCTGGAGTTTACTGTAAAGGAGGATTCATCAACATCTGCTGGGCTCGGAACCTGGGCCGAGGGCCGAGGGCCCTCAAAATCCCAAACCCTGATGAACCCCCCCTCCCTCCTAGTTCGTCCAACCTAAGCGTGCGAGTATAAGATCCACGGGTTGGGGAGGCGTGTTATAGTACTCGGGCATGATTATTGATCCTGGCAATCCTGCTGAGCACCTGACGAGTCCCAGCTCGGCGTGTTCGATGGACAGGGCCTCAAAGGGGAGCAGCTTCTGATTCGACGGCGGATTTGGGTGTGCGAGGCTTTCGTTTGGGGTTGAGGTCAGCCCCTCAGCCCTCATGCTGTGAACCTTGGTGTCAAGCCCGGACTAGATTTAACAAATGCTGAAGCCACCCAGAGCGAAAACCACATGCACACACACACACACACACAAACACATCCACAACGCACAATACCATACCAAATCAGGGAGGGAAGATCTCAAGATAGAGTGTTGACATTGACATCATGTTTTAAACGCCCCCGTATGCGCAGTCCAATTCGCGGAAAGCTACATACTCTGACCGCACACCGCACACCGCACAGGTACGTACAAAGGTTTCTCATTTCGGAGATCCTTGGTTACAAACCAGACCCCCCCCCCCCACAGGTTCTGAATATGAACTTAACGTTGATTAGGGAAGGGTGGCCACGGGACCAGCGGCGTGCCGGCGTGCCTTTGCTCTGAGTTGTAATTCAAGTTCTGCTGTGCACTGCGGCCCAGGCCATGAAGATGGCCATGCAGGAGCTAATCGTCCTGAGTGGGTAGGGCACCAAGCAAAGCACGCACGCACGCACGCACCCACCCACCCACACACACACACACACACACACACACACACACACACACGTACGTCATGTTCTAAACAGCTGCAGCAGAGGCAAATACCTCACGACGGGGCGGGGGGGCTGTACACTTTCTTGACATTAGGTCCAGAAGGCCCACAAGAAGAGTGCAAACAAGGAAGATCTCAAGCTGCTCAAGAACTGGCATTCGTCTGACATATGTGCTCCAGTTCTGTACAGCCCTCAATTGTTCCTCCTGCATGGCATTCGATCGGCAACAAACAATGGTGCCCTAAGCAAAATTTGGCGCGTCTGCGAAGACATGCAGCACATGAAAAGATTCCTGTTGAATGGTATCCCTTCCGCTGAAAGCGGACACTGCAACGGAAAGTTTCAATAAGGTACGACCATGGAGGACTGGCCGCGTTATGTTCAAGTTCCTCGTCAAGCAATGCCGGCAGTCGAGAACACAAGCAACGCAAGTTCTTTGCGGGACAGTCTGCGAGACCGAAGTTCGCGTGCGGAAATGAGTTTCCTATAATTCACCCCAGCACTCCGCGACACAGGCGAGGAGCCGCAGGGAGCACCGCAACACGTTGGTTTGCGAAGCTACAGCCCCTGCCCGCAACACAAACCAACGCCTTCACTGCTTCCGAAGACTTGCGAACGCTGGCAGACTCAACGCAAGGATTTTCGGTCAGCATCCCGACCAAAAAACCCCTAAACAGGAACCTTCTGCTATGCTTTCGGGACGAGTAAGGGCAGCAATCAATGACAGCTGTGGATCTTCACACTGTAGCTGCGCACCTGCCAGCCGATGCTGCAATGGGCGCACTTCGTCAACAAAAGAAGTCCAACTTACAATCACGAGAAGTGGAGGGGTGCCACTGCTCAGGGTCTGATCAAATCAAAGCACGCCGACTCGAGACACCGTCCCGCAAGCTGTGCCTGTGGATCGGGGGACAGCAGCATCCACAAGAGGAACATGTCCCAAGCCAGGGTGGAAAAGAAGAAGACCTGAGCACCACATGTATGGTGTCCCGGCCACCCCATTGAATAATTTAGGGTGGAACAAGTGGTGGCCATGACGGTGACAACAGGCTACTGAAGCAGGACGTGGGGCGGGAAAGGCATGGAGCTTTTGCTAGCGGGCAATAACAGTCAACGAACTCACCCACATTTCTGCCACGTGCTCGCCGATCCTCGGGCATGCCTTCAGCCAAAGTGCCGAGAGTCCAAATCCAACTTCCTCCTGGAGGCAAGATCTTGTGGGCTGGCGGACATTACAAACTTTCTACGAAAATGCAGTTGCGCCTGCAGGCGGTAAAAAGCACTGTTCCCCTAGATCCTAAGCAACGACAAGTACCACTCGGCCAAGAAGACACGAGACAGGGATCTGAGCCAACTCACACTTCCAAACCTTCCGAGTCTCTCAGTCCCTCAGTCCTGATCTTGTCTGAGCTGCTTTTCGTGGGCCGAGGCAGCATCTGCGACGATCGCGGTGGAAGAGTTCCCACCGCCTGGATGTGATGTCTACAGAACACCGTTTCAAAGTCTCGCATCGGCCTGACAAGTCTTGCGATGCTGCTAGGAAACAGCCATGCACCCATGTCTCCTTTCAAGCAGTCCGAAATCCGAAACATGACTTGTGTCGAAGATCCTAAAGTTCCGAAGTAGCACGGCATGCAGGGCACAGCCTGAACGGTTGTGCGTCTGGTACTTGGCCAATGGGCGCAAAGTATGTGCAAAGTGATTAGGTCAAATCGAAGCAACATGGTTTATAGAAAGCACTGCATGATTGGTAAGAATTCTACAACTCGCGCGGATTTCGATTTGCTGCCTTCTGTTGGTGCAGCTGGGTGAGGGTCAGACACAAACCGGAACTTTGTCAACTGCAGATGAAATTGGGCCCTTTTGAGCAACGGACTTTGGAGCCTGCCGGCAAACATGCAACTTCGAAATTGGGCCCTAAACCCTCAACCCTCAACCCTCAACCCTAAACCCTGAATGGGCACCTTGTGGAATTTCGTCATCCTCCGGATCCACGGCACGCTTGTTGGAGAGCCCCGCCTCCCACGCACAAACTGGGCGTGGCAATGCATAACATGCCAAATTGTATATTGTGTATGATATCTTGTACATGATATATTGTATATTCTATATGATATGTTATGTATTATTGTTTTTTATATATTATATACTATACATTGTATATTTTGTATTATAATGAGATTTCCACAACGCGCATTGCATTGAAGGCAAGGTTCTGTTCAAGATCCCTGTTTCCGAGGTCTCTGGTCCCGCTGCCAGTCCTACATGCAAGCCCTTTTTCCATATACTGAACCCGCTTCTCCCGTGGCTCAAAACAGCGGTTTATCGGCCTGCTGGTCCTGCCCGTTGTGCAAAGCGGCCTTGTGGCCTGTCCAAGCGCCGGGGCTTCTGTAAAACAAGCAGAGCAGACCAGCGTGCCCATACCTTTATGAAATATGAACCGAAATGAGCTTATATACGAGATTGCAGACACGTGCCACGGAACCCACACAAGGCGGCACGGGTACTCTGGGGACCGCAAGTTGATGCACGGCTGGGCAACGCAGTTCCAGGAAGCCTAAGACACGTGTCAAGAACCTCTCGTAAGCCTGTCATGCACAGTACCACAAACTGAACACTCCAGACCGTCTTGGCACGCACAGGTACAGCAATACCAGGCAGGGCAAGGCTCAAAGCAACTCCAGCCTTCCGAGTGATGTGCCTGCTGATCCTCGGTGTCCAGGCCCTGGCACAGAGTGCTGTTTATGGGGCTCTACGCTGTCAGAAGTGTCTTGTTCTCACTGAGTCAGGACTAAGCTTGCTTCTGAATCCCTTTGGGAGGTGCGACGTATGATCCGCAGGCTCATCCATGGTTTGCTACAGGGGATCTTGCATCTCGCCATGACAAGATTCGGCCAGCAATTCTCAGCAAGTGGCCATGCCAGGCCATGCAGCCTCAGCCTCTCAACCGCAGATCAGCTACCGGAGCACAACATCAGCCCCAGCCTTTAAGCTACCGTTGCTGCTGTCCCGCAATGCTACCGCCAAAGGAAGCAGCCAGGCGTAGATCAGAAGCCACGGAACCATGGCCCGGCACCCATATATCCAGATACCTGGTTAAATACCCAAATTCTTGTGGTGGCGATCCCAAGCAACAGTGTTTCGTGCCAGCTTCAGCCATGAGAAGGAACCCTCATCATCAGCATCCAGAGCACCCACTACCTGCCGGCCCCAAACCCCACACTCGCAGCCACAGGGATGGATGAGTTAGGCAAACAACCTTCCGGTTTGAGCCCAAAGTCGGTAGGAGTCTGCTCCAGCATGCTCCAATGCTGCCCGCATCGCCGTCTCCCGCCCTTCCTTTCGTGACCTTCGCAAGCTGTACTATTTCACCGATCCCTTCAGAGGCTGCAAGTGCCGTGGTCATGTATGACGAAAGACATACTGGTCACTGGATCATTGGGCACCTTAAGGGCCTGAGCGGGTGGTCATGCAGGGTCGGGTCAAACTGCGAGTGCTTTAAGCCGATGTCAGATCTTACTAGCCTTTGTAGTTTCTTTAATTGCAGCATCTTATTATCACCTTTTCAGAAGAACCCTAAATAGACGAGGGGAAGGAGGCTGCCTCCTCCACCTTTTGGCGCTTGGCTGGTGGCTCCTGTGTCAAGCTAGCTGGACGGCACACCTTGAAACTTGGCAGATTAACGATCAACCGCAGCCCCAAGACGATGCACCAGCGATTCTCGATTCCAAGTATGCCTCAGCTATCCCCATAACACGCACGCCTCCTGCTTACAAGCCTGGACCCCATGCATGTATAGGCTGGTGCTCAGGCCATGAGGACAGCTTCAACAGCTTTCCCAACATGCCCGATGACCAAATTCGAACAGCACACTCAGAATGAGCGCTGCAGATCGCCGCAACACAAGAGCCGCGAAGTTCCGAAGTCAACAGGGCACACATGATCACAATTCACGCTTTACATGTATGATGCGAGGCACGAACAAACTCGTTTGTGGGTTGCCGGTTCGCAGGGGCTCTTCAAGGAATTGGTGGCACGTTTAATGTGGCTGGTGACATGACACCCCTCCAAGCCCCCCAAAAAGGTACCAGTGCCAATCCGCGCTGCCTCGAGGCTTTCCGGGCGCACCGCGGCTGGCACCTCCGAGCCATTGGGGCTCGACCCAAACTAGAAAAAATCATGTGACATTCCCGCCTCGCCAAGAACCTCTGGGCGCACTGCAGCTGGCACCTGAGCGACCGCCACTCTGTCACGAGCGTACGGTAGGGCATGAATCTTCAAAGCAAAGCTTTTGGACTGTGTGCCGGCACCTCATCTAGAACATCTGGCCGCGTCAAGGCTGGCACCTCCCCAACGCATAGCATGTGTAGCGTGGCCCTCGCTGCAAATTCTGGGAAAGACTCTGCTTATGAGATCTGGATTGCGGATGCTTTTGCGAGACCTCTATCGTGACATGTCTGTGCTTGGGATTCATACGTGCGTCACTGTTCCGCGCCCTTGCTAGGGGGACAAGCAAGCCTCGTCTAGCACGTCCGGCCGCACCAAGGCTGGCACCTCCGCTCCGCGCTCGGCAAAGATTTCTCAACCAGCATCCCCGGACAGCCAACTAACATGCGATAAAAAGTTTTATCAAGATTCCGAAGTCTCAGTGGCCTCGTCTAGAATGTCCGGCTGCACCGGGTCGGGCACCTGAAAGCACGGTGGACCCCTCCCCCCGCAAGTGGCAACGTGGCACACTTGTGACAATCGCGAGACTGGGCGTTCTGGCATGAGGGTGATTCTACATGCTCGTTGTAATGAGTTTAGGTCTCTTACGACGAGGCCTTAGAACCCCATCCCCCCCTGCCCCCAAAGCGCGGGTCACCTGGTCCAGAACTTCCGGTCGTATCGGAGATGGCACCTCCAAGCTGCTCGCTACTGAGTGGCCGGGATTGTACGTGTCCTACCCTCCCTCTCCTTCCCCACCCTCTCTCGTTTCCCTCACGTTCTGGAGGCTTGGGGACAAGGCTGAAGAACAAAGCTTTCGCTGTAACCCCTTCCCCCAAGTCGAAGTCTTGACCGAATGGGCTGAGCTTTGTGCTGACGGAGCGAAGGCACTTTTGGGCTCTATCGTTCTTTATTTCTTTCCTTTTTTCTTTTTTTCTTTCTTGCGACAAGCCCCGGGCGTCTTCGCCCGCCGCAGTATTCGGCGCCGCTCGGCTTGTGGCTTTGGCCAGCAGAGTGGAGGGCTTCTTACCCCCCCCCCCCCCACCCCCCCACCTGAACCCCCGGTCTCTTACCCTCTGCATGTCATTTTTTTTGGTCCGCAAGCCTCGCCTTACAAGTAACTGTTCCTGGGGGGAAAACGTGCACTTCGGCTTCACCATCTTTGCGGTCAAGCACACATCTCAGAGTGGGCATAGGATTATCTCAAATTTGAGCCCCCCGGATACAAACGAATTCAGGTTCAAAAGTTGGTCTGCCTCCTCTAGCAGACTCTAGCACGTTGGCAGCAAGTCTTAGGCACTCAGGGACGGCGAAAACAGCGTGCACCCCTTCCTTCAACCTCAACCATCGCCACCCCATCGTCACCTCTTGACCCCGTAACCCTAAGCCCAGAAGTCATGGCCCCTCACCCACGCAACGCAAAACAGTTTCGGCTCACTGCTCAGGTCTGCGACTGTTTGTTGTAGCACTCACCATGCTCCCGTTCTGCCGTCTGACGAACTTGGTTGTCTCCGGCCCCTCTGCCCTGTTGCCACGCTGTACTATCTGCACTTTCATTTTTTTTTCTCGGCACCCTCCAGTCTGTCACATTCGCGACGGATGCTTGACAATCTGCCTTTGTCGCCCCACAGTATGCCACAGCATGCCACAATGTGAGCGAGCTAGCTTCTTGCAACAAACAAGGGGGTGGCCGAACCCAACTGCCGTGTTGAAGAAAAGCCTGCTACAAA